ATTGTTGAATAAACACAATATGCTCATATATTTGACCTTGGACATTACCTGTTCTTAAAGGTCACAGTTTTCTTCGAGCTACGCTCCGGGACTGAACTGTCTACTCGGAGCAGATAAAGTCCGCGGACAAATATCCGAGCAAATTTTTTTTTTTGAGCCAAATGGAGGTTATTGCTTATATTTGACAAATTAGAGCCAGTTTTTCGTGCGTCTATTCCGTTATAGTCATGAATTTCATCATAGCATTGTCAAGACTACTTTGACAATGTTGTGACGAGATTCATTATCAATAACTGGAAAGAGGTATGGAAAACTTACGTCAATTTGTTTTTTATAATTACAAAAAGGCAGAAATTTTAAATGCTTATGTCTGTCTGCTTATTGACAATGTAAATTAACCAATGAACGCGCGAGAATTTCTGCAGTTATTCTAAAGTCCTCATCTTGTTTGGATTTTGTAGTAAAGCTTGTATACAACATTTAATAATATTTTCAACTATGACAAATCAATGCACTGAGGGTTTGTTTTCATTCGCAAGTATTGACATAAAGGCAAAGATGATTTTAAAACTACTTCGTTATTTTTAACACGATGTCATCAATTGCTTTGGCCAGCTTTCAACTTGAGCAAAACAGCCTTGATTCTCGTGAAATGCTGCTTTTCCAGTGAGCATTTACTGTCTTGCCATCGCTAGTTTCTTCGATTTCGATTTTTCTTTTTTCCTTTTCTCCTTATCTTTATCTTTTTCTTCTTCTTTATTATTTTTTCGATGACGACGACTGAGGGATACTGTCCAGGATATGGCCATGGGGGAGGATAGGGTCCGGAATTAGGAAGGGGATAGGGCGCGGGATAGCGGGATCCATGTGGTGGGGGATACGGGGAGGGATATGGTGAGGGATATGGCGAGGGATACGGTGAGGGATATGGTGAGGGATACGGTGAGGGATACGGTGAAGGATACGGGGAAGAATTAGGAGAGGGATAAGGCCAGGGATACCGGGAAGAGGGGTATGGTGAGGGATATGGGGAGGGATAAGGGGAGGGATAAGGGGAGGGATATGGGGAGGGATACGGTGAGGGATAGCTAAGGCTTGCGTCCTTTCTTCCTGTCAAACAAATTAAGAAGGTTATTAATAAAAAAAGAGTCGAAAATCCTTCGCTGGATTTCGTTGTAATGGCCAGTTTGATGAAAATCTCGTATTTTCGAGTAACTTATCATTCCAAGCCTTCATTTAAAAGCCGGAGAGCGTAAGTGTCATAAAAAGAGTTCTAAGTTCTCGGGCTTTTAAATGAAGCCTTGGAATGATAAGTAAAATACGAGATTTGATACAAGTTAATACAAGTTAAAACTTGTCTTAACTGGTGAGTAAACCCCACAAAAATCTCTTGGTAAGTTTATATTTCAACCGCAATACTTCTAAATGCATGCGACTAGGCCAGCTAGAATTTTATCATCCCAGGAATCATAATCTTTAATTCCCTTTCTCCTGTCCTTGGAGAAATCCAAACCAACTTTATTACAATATTTTTCTTCAATTGCTATTTTCTTATTTTTTTTTTATGTACAACTGGTTTAAAGAGTTGGTGACCATGAGGCGTAATACTACAGTAGGTACTATTTTATCGTGTCTTGGACTACGACAGGTCAGACACGCCCCATACTTAATTAGTTTTGAACGTTTTTCACCGGATGGATCTGGCCAGCCTTTTTCTTAGAATTTGCTGGAAAGGAACGATTTAAAATGTTGGCTGATCACTTATTCTCGAGCCAGATTCCATCGTCAACTTCATTCCGTTTTTTAAGGATTCATTTTAAATTTTAGCGGTTTAAGCGACATGCTACATCATCCACTTTGAATACTTGCCGAAAAACGAATTGTCAGTGGTGTAAAATCTTACTACTTTGTCATTTTATAAGTTTACCTTCTCCAGAACCCGAAGTACCACTCCCCGAATCGAACGAACCTTCTTCGTCTTCTTCGTGAGATTCGTGTTCGTGCGTGACAGGAGTGTGATCTTTAATGTCGTGATTCGGCTTCTTCGAGGCAACAAAGGCCAAAAGGTAACAAACTATCAGTAATGCTCCTCTCATTATTTAACCTGTATCAAAAAAGACGACGAATCGTTGTCAGTAAAATAAAAAATTTGCTTCATTTTCTACGATTACTTACTACTTAACTTATACGTGAAAAGTCTTTTCATGGAATATAATGTAAAAAAGTCATTTTTTTTCCCATTTTGAAGTATCTCTCACCTTTTCAAGAGTTCGTCATCTGTGATTCTGACCTAAAAATAACAAGAGAGTTCAAGTAACTTAAAAGGAGAAGTCGCTAAATCATTTATAGGTTATCGGTACGTGCAAGTCGGACTGTTCCAAGCTCAATTCCTATTGGCAAATCAACGTAAAAAAAAACCAAGGCATCTGACTGATGTCGATCGATACCCTCAGTTCTTTATTACACGACACTTTTAAGAATAGGATACAGTACAATTATGACTTTTATAGTACCAGTTTGCTTTATCTTGAAACTCCGGTGACGATCAAATTTTTTTGGAAATCGTGAACAGTTTTTCGCGCCTCCTGTTCAGCCCTCCGTTTTCTCCAAAGATCTTCAAAGCGTACGATCGATTTTTTTTCAAAAAGATCTAATATATCACACTATTTTAAAGACCACGAAATTAATCTTTACATAAAATTTGATCAACTTCACTTGTTAAAGGAAACGTCGAGGTGAACGAGAACCGTTTGGTAACACCGCAGAATCTGAGAAGAAAAGGGGGCTGGATTGAACATACTCTACGAAACATTACTTGACAGTCCCCCGCTGGGAACCAACAATGGTAAAGGAAACGAGATTGCCCGGGAAAAACTGGCGACGCGACCGTTTTACTGTGGAACATGGATTATTACCATCCATGGTCCAACTGAAATGGTCGTGGACTCCAGCTTTTCCGATGCCCTTTCGGCGTAGTGTGGACGGAAAACACTTGATGTGGTTTCGGAATTGAAACGCCGTTTTCATATTTCTCCGACGTCGTGTGGACGAGGCCTGATGAGCAAACTGAATTGATGGGATCCATTTAAAAGTGTGGAGGTACTTCGACTAAGAACAAGCTCAGGCGCGCGATGTCAATATATTATGGTGTGTGTATTCAGGCAAGGAGTCATCAATTTTAATACGAAATTATTTCTTCGCGCAACACCTCATATGACTCAAAGAAGGATATCTCAAGGCAAATTCAAAAGTTCAAGGTGTCGCGCAGTGTTCAAAACTTTCGATAAATAAATTCATGTCGTTTTCAGCCAAACTTAGTGATGAACAATGAAGACCCCACTGAGCGCATGTTTTCACGAGAGATGTTTACCTTGGTTTTGCTTTAACTTTACTGAGGTGAAATTTTTAATCGTGTAAACACAGCAGCAAACCTCGGTAAATGGCGGCAAAATCAAAAGTAAGCCAACGTAGGTTTGTCGACAGTTAAACGCCTCATCAGGCCTGGTTTAACTTTGTAACCGACGGTAACCGAGGAAAAGCAGGCGTTGTCGCGATATCTTGGCAGTAAGTGTTCATGCATGCAGCACGTAAAGAGGAGAAAAATAGACAAAGATTCCTCCTTATGTAAGAAGGTTTCAAGTCCACGGGCACTAAAAAAAGCTAAATAAACGCATGTTTAGGCAAAGAAATACCGGACTGCTGTTTCCCGTTCATCGTCAAGTGCCGTAAGTGTTTCCTTTCTGTTAGAAGTTCAGTAGCTTAGTAGCAGTGTGCAGGTAGGCGCAACTAGAAGAAGACCTACCACAAATAGAGAAAAAAAATCATAACTGATGTCTATGGAGAAGAAAAGCAAATGTTGGAATTTAAAGCGGCCCCGAAGAAGAAGAAGTACCGGTAAACATCTACGTACCCCGAGCTCCGTGGCAGATGTCACTTCAGGTTTTTTGCGGGAAGAGGCTCAGCGAGATATCAAAATTTCCTTTCCACTATTCATCTACAAAGCTTTACATTTAAGGAGAGTTTGGCTTGACATCACAGCAAGCAGATTGACAACGATCTGCGTTCGGCATTGGAGCAAAATCAAATTTTATAATTTTCCATTAGCAATGATTGCAGCACTTGCTTACCGAGAAAACCTCAAACCGTCCGTTGTATGCGGCCTACTTTAGCTATAGTTAATTAGTTTCGTGTAAACAGCCCCTCTAATAACTGCGGTTTACTTACGAAACCTCTGTAAGCGTTAGCCGTAGTAAACCTCTCTCGTGAAAACACGGCATGAGAGAGTTTATCACAAGTTTCATGCCCCGTCCACAGCTACACCAGATAAATTTAAAAACGGCGTTTTCACTCCGAAAACGCTTCGATTGTTTGCCGTCCATACTACGCCGAAGAAATTTGAAAATCAATTATTTTATCGCTAGTCTTTATCGCAACAATCACTGACCGTAGAAGCGCCTGAATTCACCCTTGAGGGTTAAGGTTAATCATATGATTTTTGTGACGTCGTCGTTTTCGAAAAGCTCCATTTTTAAAATATTTTCCGTTCAAAACAAAGCCAGCGCTTTTCAAATTCCTCTGGTTTGAAGAGCGTTTTCGAAAAGCTCCGGTTTCGGTGGACAATTTCTCCGGATAAAGCTTAACCATAGAAATAAAGCTGCGTTTACAAATTTCTCCGGCGTAATGCAATGTGGACGGGGCTTCAGTTGGGTTATAACAAAACATTTAAATGAAATATGCCACCTGGAACTTAAGAAGGTTAACGAAATGTGTGTTGAAACTGAACATGAATACGAACTTTCTTTTTATCTTTTTCAAGCTAAAAGAAGAAAAAAAAACTGTACGAATAAAATTCAGCCAGCATCGCCAATGCAGGCAAACTTAAGTTTGCTAGAATTCTGTTTTGTGGGATGTTTATATAAATTGGGTGAAACTCGGCCTTATGAGCACCCGTTAATGCTACCACCTCATTCTCGAGATCACTTTCTTTGGTCTGAAAAAAAATACACAATGTTTTATTGGTTTTAATTTATCATATCTATTCATCATACTTGTTATATTTTTATTGTAATCTTACTCGTACACTGTAAAGCGCTTTAGAATATTTTATAATTTAGCGCTATATAAATCTATTATTATTATTATTACTATTATTATTATTATTGACTTTAATTAGATGCTGGAGGTTACCTAAGGAAAATCAATAAACCTTTATTTTGTCAGGGTATTTCTTCAATTTTACAATAAAAACTTTTATCAACGAGAAGGTCCTAAACTTGTTTGACGTTCCTCTTCAGTCATCCCTTTCTTTTTTATCGTGGCTTGTGTTCTTATCTTTTGGATTATCTTCGCCCTTCTTCTTCTCCTTTTTCTTCTCTTCCTCCTCTTCTTCCTCCTCTTCCTCTTCTTCTTTCGAGGGCGGTGCGGGTGCGGGTGCGGGGGCGGGTGCAGGGGCGGGGGCGGGATGCACGACAGGGTAGGGATACGGGGAAGGATATGGGTAGGGATATGGCAAGGGACCTTGTCCAGGGTAAGGATATGGAGCGGGATATGGTGATGGAGTAGGGTAAGGATATGGAGATGGGGCTGGTGCAGGGAAAGGATATGGTGACGGGGCGGGTGCAACAGGGGGGGAAGGATATGGTGACGGGACGGGTGACGGGGCGGGTGCAACAGGAGTCATAGGATATGGTGCCGGGGCGGGTACAGGGAAACCAACAGACGGGGAAGGATATGGCGACGGGTAGCCAACAACCGAAGCGTCCTTTGCCCCTACCAAACAAATAACGAAGTAAAAAGGTTATTGGTGGTTGTGTAATCACCAAAACAAATTTTTCCTTCCACATCTCTCTTTAGAATGTTTTCCACTCGGCTTCGTCCTTTTTTAAGATGAACGGCCTGGTGGGACTTAAATAAACTTCTACTGTATTACCGTGCAGATTTTTTCTTCTCGTTTTCATTATCACGTAAAAATTTAGTGCAACTTTGGTTTACCAAACTCCAACAGACCGACAGAAATCTTTGTGATCTTGGAGCTGACGATCACCAGGCTATGTTTTATAACGAACCTGAGTATAACGAAATAATTTGAAAGTCAGTGTAACAAAGTACTCCAGGGCTTTGTTTTAGATAACAAATAACTAAAGATAAGAGGACTGATTTGAGTTTGATACACCAAGAGACTTTTTAGCGACGAAATAAATCCTGCTTTGTGATTACGAAAGACATTTTCACGAACGAGCAATCTTGTTACACCTGGGTTTAACGAAAATCCCGCTATATTTAAAAGCGTCATAAGTTAGAAAGACCCCAGCTTATCACTGACTTTATTCTGAAATCCAAAAGGGACTGAAATAATGTGGTGGTCGTATTAATGAAATGACTAAATGGCGGGGTTTCATTGAGGGTATACTTGACCTTTCTACGCGGCGCTAACCTACCTGGTGAAACTCTCCCATGTTATTTTCGTAACCTTTTTTGCTTTCTTGGAAAGAGGGCGTGAAATATTTTTGACCAGAAGTTTATAAAGTTGTGTTTTCACTGACTTTTGACGTGAAAGAAAAACCGTGATCTAGTCGACGTGTTTGATAATTACGAGCTGTTAAGTCACTGAAAGATTAAACAGTTTCCGTGGTGAATATCACGCCCTAATTTGTCCGAGTTTTCTTTACTGACCAGGTTCGTGTTAATTCACTCCATGCGATTTCATCATCAACTCCTTGTTACATTTTTTCTTTAGAAAATCTCTTTCTCAGAAGTCTTGCAAGACGTATCTTTCACCTCACTGTACTTCATTGACAAATCGCAAATTTAATTTTCAGTATTTACTGTATTACGTTTAAATTTCAGTTTCCCTACCAGAACCCGAAGCACCACTTCCCGAATCGAACGCACTGCCCTCCTCGTCTTCAGCGTGAGATTCGTGTTCGAGCGAGATGGGAGCGTGATCTTTTGTTCCTTGCTCATAATTCCCCGAGGCTTCAAAGTTTCCTTCAGTCGATGTAATAAGCGCTTCCATGGCGAAAAGGCAAGCAGTTAATGCCA